CACCCGTCTAACCCTCCAACCCCATCTGACTGCCCCCGTGCCATCCACAATACCCATCTAACCCTCTAACCCCATCTGACTGTCCCCGTGCCATCCTTTTTCTATGAGGAGTCTGTTATGAGCTGACCAGTGTCCCAAAGAGGATAGTATGAAATCCTGAGCCCTGCTACCTGGGAATGGGACTCTGTGTGGACACGACTTTCTTGCAGAGGTGATTACACCCAAGAGGAAGCCATTAGGATGGGCCTGATTTGAGGACAAGCATCCTCAGAGAAAGAGGGAAACACGGACACAAAGACACAGGGAGACGGTTCCGGGACAGACGCAGGGGCCAGAGCGATGTGGCACAGCCACGGATAGCAGGAGCCCCCAGAAGCTGGGAGAGGCGGGAAGGGTCCTCCCCTGGAGCCTTGAGGGGAAATGTGGCCCTGCCCACACCATGACCCCCGACTCCCGCTCCCCAGGACTGGGAGAGGTTCTGCGAGTGCTGCGTAGGCCCCGTCTGCGGCCTCTCTGGTGGAGCCCCAGGAAACACAGGCTTATGTAGGATAAAGTTCTGTCTGCTGTCACATCTCCCTGCCCCCAGCCTGTGACGCTGTCATGGCCCTGACACTTTGGAGGGTTCCAGGGCTGTCTCTCCACAGCCTGGCACTCCGTCTGGGTCGGAAGGTGGTTCTGTGTCACAAAGTCCAGGCTGTGCTGGGTGACTGCAGGGCGGGCTGGGTGTGTGGGGAGCTCTCCCACACTGCAAATGCCCGCTCCTCACCCATCTCCCGTTCACCCGTTCACACCCTGGCCTGGCTGCGTCCGTGAAACTCGAAGTGCACTGGGTGGAGGGTGCTGGGTCCTCGCACTGAGCCCCACCCTCCCATGCACTGCTGGGCCCGCAGGCACACAGGGCGCTCAGGCTCCCGCTGTCCTCCGGGCAGTCCCGAGACCGCTCTGGAGGTCGAGGGCCAGCACTAGGGCTGCTCGGCGCTGTGGTGCCCAGACCCACTCTGTGCACACAGATACCCGTGTATTCAGACCCTGTCTGTGCACACAGATACCCCTGTATTCGTGCCTCTCTGTCTGAAATCCCTGAGGTTGCAAAGACCCCTCTAATTCTGTGCCACTTTTTTTCTGCAGTGGCCCTGCCCCTTCACCAATGGGGACCCTGCCACACCACGCAGGATCCCGGATCCGCCTCCCTGACTCTGCCCTGCGGGGACCGTGCTGCACAGGGACGAAGGCGGCTGTGGTGGGCTCCCGCAGGTCCTGGGACCCAGGCTTTGGGGTTTGAAGCTGAACTAAGCCTTGAAGGTGAGCCTGCCCCAGGCCCACCCAATGCCTGGGCACAGAGGGTGCCGGTGCTGAGGGAGCTGCAACAGGGCAGCCCCTCCCCAGAGGCCCATGCCCCTCAGACCCATCTGTGCAGGTCAGCAGCCCATGGGGGAGGGACTCGGGACGACGGCAACTTAGTCTTTGAGAATGATGGCTCAGGCGTCTGTCACGGGGAGGGGCTGGTGGCCGTCCAGGCTAAGCCTCGTGCTATTCTGACCCAGGCTTCGTGTTGTATAGACGGCAACGGGAGTCTGGCCCCTCAGCCCCCGGCAGGAGTCGCGTGGGGAGGCAGGTGAGGGATGTGGCTGTCATACAGCAGGCGCCAGCCCCGAGTGCCAGCCCTGAGACCCTGTGTGGCCAGTGGAGTGCCCGGAGCGCAGGGCAAGACAAACATAGCTGGGCTGGGGAGGAGGGATGGAGCACAAGGAAGGACAAAGCCAGGTCCCCCAAATCCCACAGGGTTCCAGATGCACCTGGGGCTAGGAGACAGGAACGGGTGTCCCCAAAAGCTCTGCAGGCCACCCCAGCTCCACTACTCCGGGCCTTTAGCCTCCTCGTCCATCTAAGCCCCGCTGGGCTCTGACTACGGCCCTAGGGGTGGCAGCAACCCCGACAGCCCAGGAGGCGGAGGCCCCGTGTGACCTGAGGGACTGGGACCTGAGTGGTTCGTGGGGCTCTAGCAACAGTGGGAGCGCCCGAGGCTGCTGGCCAGGGCAGAGGCAGCTGGGGGAGGGGGAGCCACAGTGGTGGGCGGGGAAGGGGCACTCACGCGTGGCATCGTGTTCTCATTCTGGATGACGATCTGGCGGAGCAGGCGCCGCTCATAGTCCTGGTCCATGGCGAGGCAGGGCTCGGCCTGCGGCAAGGTTAGCCTGTGGCGGGAAGGGCAGGAGAAGTCAGTGGGGCAGGGCCAGTCGCCCGGGGACCACGGGCTCACTTGCACCTCCAGGCCCTGGGAGCCAGAGTGACTGTGGGCTCCTCCTGCCTCCTCTGTGGGGACCTCCTGCCAGTCCCAGCCTCATTCTGGGTGAGGCTCCCCTAACCCTGGTCTCAGTTGCTGCTGACAGACCCTCCCAGCCAGTACATCCCACACCCTGTCCTCACCCTAGGGAAAGGGGCTTTCTGCCCTAGAGGCCCCGGTAGGGAGGCGGGGGCTCGGAAGAATCCTGGAGGTCCCGGCAAGGACTCTTCCCTGAGCGTGGGCAGCCTCCATGTCTCGAGGCGCCACGGGGACCCACGTGTGTGTACGTGTGCAAGGGGGTTCGACAAACCACACCAGCTCTAAGGCAGTGTGCAAGAGCTGGCCATGCACAGACCCCGGGTCAGCCATGTGGGTCCAGGCCCAGGTAGACCAGGTGACGGCTCCGGGGACATCAGCCTCCTGTGGACAAGCCACATCCGCAGTCAGCTACAACCAAAGTAACACCCAGGGGCCCATGCAGAGCCCACATGGGACCAGGCTCAGCCAAACCAGGAAGGCCCCTCTAAGAGGGTGGCGTTTATGTTGAGGCGTGAAGAAAAGTGGCAGTGAGGAGACCGGCAAAGAACGTTCCAGAGAGAGATGCACAGCCCGAGGCAGGAAGGGGGTTTGCATGAGAACAAAGTGAAGGTCCGTGTAGGCAGTGGAGATAGAAGGTAGCCTAGAAACAACGCTCTTTCCACCAGGGCCAGCAAACCACAGCCCGAAGCCACGTGCAGGCTACTGGTCTGTAAATACAGTGGTTCTTTTTGTAGACAGGGTCTCCATCTGTTGCCCAGGGGGCACAATCACGGATCACTGCAGCCTCCACCTCCTGGGCTCAAGAGTGGTGGTACGCACCTGTGGTCCCAGCTACTTAGGAGGCTGAGGCTGGAGGATCGCCTGAGGCTGGGAATTTCAGACTGCAGTAAGCTATGATCATGCCACTGCACTCCAGCCTGGGTGACAGAGCAAGACTCTGTCTCAAAAAAAAAAAAAAAAAGTGAAAAAATTTACCGAAAGTTTACCATCTTGACCACGTTTAAGTGTGCAGTTCCGGCCGGGCGCTGCGGCTCACATCTGTAATCCCAACAGTTTGGGAGGCCGAGGCGAGTGGATCACGAGGTCAGGAATTTGAGACCAGCCTGGCCAACGTTGTGAAACCCCGTCTCTACTAAAAATACAAAAATTAGCCGGGTATGATGGCGCATGCCTTTAATCCCAGCTACTCGGGAGGCTGAGGCAGGAGGATCGCTTGAACCCGGGAGGAGGAGCTTGCAGTGAGCCGAGATTGTGCCACTGCACTCCTGCCTGGGTGACAGAGCAGGCCTCCATCTCAAAAAAACAAAAACAAAAACAAAAAAACAAAAAAAGGACAGTTCAGTGGCATTAATCACATTCCCGTGGTTGTGCAGCCACCACCACCGTCATCCCTAGAACTTTCTCATCTTCCTAAACTGAAACTCTGTCCCCGTGGAACACTCACTCCCCATCCCTCTCCCCAGTCCCTGGTGACTTCTTTGGCAGGTAAGTTCCTCAACCATTAAACACAGAGACTCTGTCAGTGATGAAAGCTGTGTCCCATTCTGCTACTGACATTAAGTGATAATAAAGTTATGTCTAAGGAAGAGAAACCCACAGTTACCATGGGACCCAGCACTTCCTAGATACATACCCAGGAGAACGGGGAAGGCACAGGAACTGGTACACAAATGCTCACAGACGCACAATTCGTAACAGCCAAAATACGGCAAAATCCTACATACGCATCAACAAGTGAGGGACGAACCAGCGCGGCCCTCCACACGCCGGAACACAACCCAGCCACGAAAGGAGCAAGGCTCTGACCCAGGCCACAGCGTGGACACGCCCTGGGGACGTTGCACCCTTTGAGAGACACCAGACACAAAAGACCTGGGAGGGCCCTGGAGGAGGCCGACTCACAGAGACCAGGAGGGCCGAGGCGACACCTGCTTTTTTAGGAAACAGACACCCGAGGCAGGCGCTAGCTTGCGTCACCAGGTAGGGACAGATCCATGCGGGTTTGGTGCTGCTCCTGTCATCCTGAGCACCACTCTGTCCTGAGATACTGAGGTAGTCGGCCTGATTGCCACCTCCACAGCCCCAGGAGGCCTCTGACGAGCTCCCAGCCTGGGGCTGGAGATAGGATCAACCGCAGGGCTGTTTCTTCTGCAAGAGCCCGCAGGCAGCGCTGCCTGGGCCTGCAGTCACGGGACACATGGGGTCCCCGGCTCGGCCACATGGGGCCAGTCAGGCTCTGAGGGACAGGAGCGTGCAGCCCACAGCCCTGTGTTAGTGGGCTTTCATGGCTTATCTCATGTCCCCTCTGCAAGGCCTCATGGACGGGGTGCCAGCGCCTGCCGCCTGTGCAGATGAGGACAGGAAGGCAGAGTGCAGAGCAGCCAGTGCAGAGCAGCAATGCCCATGGCCACATAGAAGGCTCAGGGCTCTCTACGTGGCTCAGCCCAACGCATGGGGTGGTCCACGCGGCTACAGAGCAGTGGCCAGCAGCTCTCCCTCCTTCCAGCCTGCCCCCACGCCCCCCGCCCCGGGGCCAGATCACGTCACCAGCCTCCTCCCCACCCCCTTCTCCCTCACCCAGACTGGCCTCTCCCAACCCACATTCCCCACTGGTTCTCCACAGGGCACAGCCGCCTCCCGCAGCCCCAAAGGCCCACGTGTCCCCACCACACCCGACCGCTCCTGGGCCAGCACTGGCCATTCCAGGACGAGGAGAGGCCTAAGCATCTGTCCCCAGTGAAGACAGCCTCTGGGGGACAATTTCCCGAGCCTGGAGCCAGAGGGGCTATAGAGACCTGAGCCCCAGGAGAGCGGTGGGTGTGGGCCCCCGGAACTGACTCACATATGAACAGGGAATCTACGCAGATCCTGAGCCCCAGTGGGTGTGGGCGCCCCGGGACCGATTCGCAGATGAAGGGGGATCTACACAGATCCTCCAGCACTTACAGAAAGGAAACCGCGGAGCAGAGGCCACTTTCAAAGGCAGTACTGTGGCATGAAAACCCCACTCTGGGGCAGGGGCTCGTGGGGGGGGTCTCCGTCGGAAGCGCAGTGCTACGTCCAGGCCGTGCAGAGGTGGTGAGTACAGCCACAGAGGACTTCAGTCATGGCCGGGGAGGACAGCTGGAAACATCTGCTTCACAGGCAGCAGCGCCCAGACAGTAGCCTGTACCCCTTGGCACACCAAAAACCAGGCAGGACCTGAACACTGAGCCTCAGTGCGGGGGTGAGAGCGCCGCTGCTCAGACTCCAGGAATCCCAGAGCCAAGAGGCGAGGAACTTGTTCAAGTCTAGCAAATCCGAGGCCAAAGAGAGGCCAGCCCTCCGCTCTCCTCGGGGTAGATCAGCCACCACCATCAGCTCCATGCAGGTCGCCCAGCACTGACAGCTTCACAGGCCCCATGCAGCCAGCAGGCGACTCACCATGTAGACCCGGCTGCCGCAGGGCAGAGACGATCCGGACTGCCCAGGGGCGTAGGGTCCTGACCCCCGGACCTGTGCTTAGGCCACCTTGCAGAGCAGCAAGGACTCTGCAAGTGCGACTGAACGTTTCAGAGGGTGGCAGGTGTGGATGGGGCTTCCCGAGACACTTATGCTCCCCACGGTCCTGG